ATAATTCACGAATTTCATGTCTTATAGTTTCAAACGCATAGTCTATAGTGTCTCCTATTCCTTATTTGAGTCAAAAACATGCTTAAAACGGTTCCTATTTTCTTTAATAATGAATTGGATGATATATCAGCTGATCAAATTCGAGCTGCAATTGTATAATGTTGGATCATTTCATTTTGGATTTGATTGAAGTAATTTTAGGTGAAATCTTACCAAAATCATTATGGCAGGTTTCTTTTAACTCTTATGGTTATGATATTGACTATTGAAAAAATTTTGCACCTCAGAGGTGTAGATTGATTTTAGCGATTTTTCTGGTAAATTTATCATTAAGTTTATTGTTGATTCTGCCGAACTCCGCAATAATAGATGTATTAATTTTTGTATCACGTGCGGAGAGTTCATTAGAGATAGTTCATTGAATTTCATTGGAAAATTGGTTTCTGATAACATAAAATAAGAAACATGCGTCATCGAAGGACAAGAGAATAAAAAATGTGAAGTCAGTGTGTCATAAGGCATTGCTTTGCAAGGTGAATGCAGACATAAATTCGGAGTAAAGCAAATGTGAAGTAAAAAAAAATATGATAAATTTGTTTTGCGTGATTTTTTATTATTATTTTTTTATAGTAAGGCGTTTGTTTGTTAAAACAGTTCTGTGATTCTTTATATACGCTTACACGGCAATTTACCCATCAATACTTGGTAAAATTGGAATAGAGAGCCCACTTAATTTGAAAACAACATTTGTGAAAATGATTTCATGTACTGTATATACCCCCTTATATCTGAAAAAAGAAAATTATCAAAGATCTGTCCGGCGCTTGTACCTAAAGACAAAAAAAATTAGTGCATTTTCATAACCCCATATTCCATATCCCATAACATATTCAAGCAATGAATTATAATAATATTTTTTTTCGTAAGTAAGGCCTTTCACAAGAGAAAAGTTTTATTAATAAAAATTATTGAATATTGCTTAGATAGCTTTGCTATCATATAAGTACGGTATATGAATAAGCTACATTATAAAGCCACTCCCATTCATTTTCACTTATGTCATTTGTGTCAAAAGAAAGATACCCGTAGGCTGAAGGAAGAATTAGAATATCTATCTGCCTGTGAGACGCCGTTCACATCAGTAAACTGCTTATTGAGTATAGTGTATCTACCAAAGGCAAAGGACTATATATATATATATTTTTCTTGCTTCAAATATATAAGAAGGCGGGACTTCTCTTCGCTTGTGGCGCAGTTCAGAGTAAGAAATTTCGATGAAGTTCGTATAATACAGATCAAAAGGAGGTCGCTGTCACCTGGAATAAAATCATCGGGCATTCGTAATTTTATGATATAGCGCTTATCTAATAAAATATACTACTTATTTGTTGGGCCCCTTCTTTTCAATTTTATTTGGAATAGTCGTAGGAAACGGTGTTCGAGATGCGGATATACTCGCCTTGGTAGGTATGGCACCTGGTAATTTCAGGACAGAAGATCAGAGGCTTGAGGCGGAAGATTCAGTTTTCATGTGTGTACATGAAAAAATTTTTTCACTCGGCGTAGTAAAATGTTTTTAATAGTATTATCGATTTACATATCAGTTAACTTTGAGAGTTTGTTGGCGATATAAGAGTTGATTCGCATAATCTTCTCAAATTTCGCTAAATAACATATATAGGCTTAGTTAGCTGGATTTTTTTTGCAATTAAATGAAAGTATATTATTTATTATGATAATGCAAAGGAATTTACTACATGATTATATTACTATTAATAATAACAAAGGAAATAATAACAATTATTTTTATATCCAAATTTTTGTAGAAAATCCAACCGAACCAGCCAAATCATCACGTGAGAAATTAAAGAGGTAGTAGAAAACGGATTGAAATTTTGCAGATCAAAGTTTTAAAAGAAAAGTTACGTATAAAAAAAAAAGAGAAAAGCAATTTTTAAACTGAAGCAATATGAAGGTAATAAAAGTGTTTGAAGTTCATAATCAGTAATATAATCCTGGATTAGGACCGCTGAATAAGAGAACTTTAATTCCCTTGAAGCCAACCAATAAAGTGTTGAGCACGACCCATTTCCCCTTGCCCGTTGAAAGCCCATACATGATTAATACCCATAAAGTTGATTAAAGGAACGGCGGGATTTTCACCTGCCGGGTATAAATTGACAGGAATAGCATCATTTACAGTGTTTAAATCAGCCACAACATATACCGGATCCACGATCGCACGAATGTTGGGATGCTTATAGAGAAAAGTTGCGAAATCCTCGCAAATACTAGCATAAAGATTAGCACCTTCCAGATTGTCCCCAGCTCCATCTACCGTTATCCTGCCTGCTAAAATTCTTGCAACTGGAATGACGTCCTCCTTTGTCCAAGACGATGAGGGCTTCTTTAATAATTTGGCTATAGGCTCCGTGAGAACTTTTCCTAATAATAGACGAGCTTGCTTAATAACTTGGACTTATTTCATTACCTGTATTAAAGACACGATAAAAAAATATTGTACCGGGTAATGGGTCAGGATTTAATTTTGCTGTGCAATGAAATATCTTCTTCGGCAAAGCACACGTCTTCGTATGCTTCTTGAATTTGTCTAAAAAAAAAAAAATTATAGTTGATAACATTATTTTTCTGATAAATCAGACAAGCTATACCTCTCGGAAGATTTAAAAATAAGAGAGAAGAGAACTGGAGAGTAGTAACTGAAAGCACGTTTAATTATATATATTGTAAATGTCACGTGGTTAATACGTCATATGAATCTAGGTTTTAATATGGTTTTATGTTTAACCAATTAAACCATATGATTTAATAACTATTGCGTAAAAGGATGGATCGTTGAAGATCCCATGATCAGCCAATCAGATATACAGTGGTGTGCAAAAAAAATGACAATTTTTAAAATTACGATCGTTACACAACCACTTTATCAATCGAAACG